GACCCTTTGGTTAGTAGCCATAGCACTTAACCAGAACACCACCAGGGTTTCCAAAATGGTACAGCTGCTATCAAAAACAATTTGAAATTTCCTCAAAAAGTTAAACATAGAATTACATATGACCCAGCAATTCTGTTCCTAGGTATATACCCAAAAGACTTGAAAGTGAGGACTCAGATAGATACTTTTACATCAGTGTTCATTGCAGCATGATTTACAATAACCAAAAGGTGGAAATGTCCCAAATGCCCATCAACAGATGAATGGATAAACAAAATATGGTGTATGCATACATTGAAATATTATTCAGCCATAAAAAGGAATGAAGTTCTGATTCATGCTACAACATGTATGAACCTTGAAAACATTATGTGAGTGAAATAAGCCAGTCAGTCACAAAAAGGACAACTATTGTATGACTGCACTTATTTGAGTAGAATAGGCAAATTAATAAAGACACAAGGTAGAATAGAGGTTACCAGGGGCTGGAGGGAGAAAGTAATGGGGGTTATTGTTTAATGTGTACAGAGTTTCTATTTGGGATGATAAAAAAGGTACTGAAAAAATTGCAGTGATGGTTATACAACATTGTGAATTTATTTAGAACAACTGAATTGTACACTCAAAATGGTTAAAATAGTAACTTTTGTGTTATGAACAATTTGTATATGAATTCCTATTCCCATTCAATAATTCATACACAAATTGTTCATAATAAATATTATATATTTTACCACAATTAATTAAAAAAAGACAGAGAGGCAGGGCCAAGATGGCAGAGTAGTCAGACACTTCCAATGGACCTTCTTACAACAAAGACCAGAAAAAACAAGTGAATTGATTATTTATGGCAATCTGGGAGCCCGAAACATCAAAGGCAAAGTGCCAGACCTGACCCAGCGAGAGCCTGAGCCCTTCAGGCCTGATCAGCTCGGGAGTGAGCAATGAGGCAGGCAACAGGTGGTACTTGGAGGCGCTTTTTCCACACCAGAAGAGACCCAGTGCCAGAGAGTCTACGTGGCCACCCAGAACCAGTGAGAAGCAGCCCTGGATTGGCGAAAAATAAGTACTTGTATACGGCCAACCGCTCAGATCAAAAACACCCCTCTTAGGGAAAAACCTCTCTCCCATTTACCTCCCTGCTCCCTGCTCTGCACTGGGTCCTGGACAGGCTTCAGCAATTGTCGAGTACCCTGGGCCGGAAGTAGGATCTGTCACACCCCTGGAGCCATTCTCCCTGCCTTGGAGAGTGAACAAATTAACAGAGGGAAAAAATTAACTGCCGGCTCCACTCAGCCAGAAACCCAGGGTAGGCACAGCTCCTTGCCTGGCACAGGCATAAGGGGTCCACGGACTTTGAGTGCCTTTTCCCCTGCATAGACTTATGTGGACCCATCTCAACAGCATAGGCCCTCATTACCACAGTACCACAGGGTATATACCAGAAGTTTAACTTCAAATGTTTCAGCTGTGAAGTAGCAGGTTCTTGACATTAGACACTGCTCTGCCCATTAAGCAGGGTCTTCACCTACACATACTGGGGGTCTGAAGACTGGTGGCTACACCCACACCATGTAGCCACCTGCCATAGGGGCTCATGAATAAGAGGTGCCCCCCAGTCCTTACACCCAACAGCATTAGGTGCTCATAGTCCGGCTGCAAAACCCACCCACCTACACGCTCTAGGGAACAGGGACACGCCTTCCACCTGGACGCTTGGGTGCGGCCGTCAGCCCCTGCCTTAATCAGAGTGTGTCCCCCTGCTGCAGCCAGATGTCTGT